TCAGTATACGTGATGGTGTAAGCATATATGGCGTGCGTTTGGCGCAAAAATGACGAATCTCGTACTCGTAGTCAAATCTAAGGCTCTGTAATAGATTATCAATTTGAGGAACAGCAAATAGCTCAATGTGTGTCTTCCCGATCTTTATATTGGAAGCTTTGAGTTTGAGGCAGCATTTTTCTGGCCATAGTAACCCCTAGTTTAATTCAGTAATAGTATTTAATTCAGTAATAGTATTTACAAAGGAAAGCGACAAAGTAATAATTATATTTGCTTAATTATTTTAGATATGAGATAATGCTAAGGTGTTGGAGTCATCTTCCAAGAGACAGACCAACATTTACTGAACTATCAGATAAATTGTGGGATCTTGAGCATAAAGAAAATACCTATGTCAATTTAGACAGTTTAATGCGGCAGTCCATCGAAGGCGAAGGTATGCAGAACTACTAAATTTGTACACGATAGCCTTTTTGCACAATTTCTCATGCGTATGTAGTAGGCATTTTTACGGCAAACTTGAGTGGATCGCTTCATCGATCGACAAATGATATTGGTCATTTAACAATTTAAACGATTTACACCTGTTGCATGTATTATTTCCTATTAAACATATCAATAAATATCAATACAAACCTGATACAAACATGTCCATGCATTTTCTCCTTACAGTTATATCAAAGCAGTAAATGTAGAAACACGCGAGGCGAGTACTGTGCATATAGTTATATGAAAGTGGTCAGTGTAGAAAACACGCGAGCGTCGCGAGGGAAAATGCCGGGAGAGTGATTAGCCATATGATATGTTCATGCATTAGTTTCTTGGTCAGCTATTTGTCAACAAACGCCCTCGGAATGGCAAGCCGACCACCACTTAGAACTATATTCATAACATTGATAACGGTGTTTTGCGTTGAGTAGGTACACTTACATTTCTGAAATATCCAAGCGCAGTAATATTTTGGATAGAAGTCGTATCCATGAAACTTATGAAAACATTGAATGTAATATGCGAGGAGGAATATCGTTAAATCTTCTCCTATTTTTCATTTAGTCTGATCAGTACTTAACTGTAAACTTTGAAAAATGTGATAAAATAGATAATGCTTCCAAAACAATTTCAGAATCTAGTATAGTTTTTGAAAATTGAACAGCAACGGTTCGGAGTTTCATCCCTTTCTTCTTTCCTCGCATCGCGTATTTTCTACACTGACTGCTTTGATATAACTGTATGAAGATTATGTATGGATATTTACTGACATTTTAAATAGGACATAGTCGGGCTTCCTGTGATATGAACCGCAGGAAAAATTGTATATGAAAGAAATTGCATGTTTTTTTTCCAAATTCTCTGTATAGTCGTTCCTTTCAAGTTGCCGTCCATGCAGATATCATGCACATGCTCAAATAAGGTTGTTGCAATTGCATGCAATGTGTCTGTAATTTCAAATAATTTTTCTATCCAAAAATTTCCTGATCCACATAATTATATTGTTTACTTTAGATTATGAAGAAAAGGATGATCATTTAAACCAGGTAAATAAAAGTATATAGTCAAACAACGGGACCGGATATTACGAAATCAAATGGCAGAGATATATAACAGAGTTAAATATATATATATATATATATTTCATATAGTGATAATACGGTAAGTATTACATTTACGTGTCCGCCATCTTAGAACAGTCACTGCACCCAGTCTCTTAAATGACCCTCCTCAAAATTCTTGTTTATAGTCCTGAAGGCAGGCAGGAGGTCGCCTTTGTCTACATCTTGCTGTGCATGCTGGTCTAACAAATCTGTCCCACTGAGCTATACTATATTACTGGAAGACCTGCTCGGCATAAAAAAGCGAAGCCAAAAATATGGCGGCACCTACAGCATCTTTCAAATTACACCACTAATGATACATTTTCTTAATTTTGTTGAACTTCGGATAATGTTTCTACATTTTTTCTGCACGTATATATACAGTAAAATGGTCTGCAATTAATTGAAATTATAACTGTGTAAATTTATATGCCATGCCCGCCTCTGATTAGCTATTGCTATTTGCGGGTCATGGTATTTCTATCTTTATGTATTTTATTTTATTGAACAAAATTGTATTGTATTGGATTGGATTGAATTTCGTCTTCTGCTGACGCCAGAATGACGCCACTGGTTTCCAATTCCTACGATAATTACCACTGTCCAAGGCTCATTTTGAGCCCGCTACAATTTTCACACAACCTTTTTGGTTTCGACAAAAATATTTTAGCTTTTTATTTACGATTCATTTTGCGCATTTCTTTCGACTTTCAACAATTTGTTTGAACATTTACAAGTCGTAGACATTGAGAAATGTTGAAAGATGATATGTGATGCCGAAATTAACAGCTAAAAATATATTTCTTGTGTTTGTATTCAAATATTTTGCAAACTAATAATCACTCTGTGCATGAACACCCAAACATCTTTATACGGTAAAAAGCTTTATAATTTTCAGCAAGGAGAATTCACAATTTGCATGTATTAAAGAGTATTGTCGAAAGTATTTTTTTGTTTAATACAAATGGATGGAATATGTAACTTCATATTATTTCTGTGCTGTAGATTGGTTGTAAGTATTTTGGACCCAGAGTCTTCCAGTGCCATTTGATTGGAAGTTTGTGACATAATTATCAAAAGGGTGTGTCGAAAAGTTCTCCAGAGATGACATATATAGTAGATTTCTGGCTGAGGACATTAGACATGTTGCTGGAGACAGTTTTCAATTACCGATACTAGGGATCAAATTACTGCCACTGCCTCATAATGTTAGCGCCCATGTTTTCAATTTGCTAAACTGGATATATACCATGTTCCCGCATGTGCATATAGGTCCATCATATCCAATCCACTAACACGGTTGATATAACACAACAAAACCATTTTTTAATTAATAAACTTTAGTACGTTTAACTTCTTTGATAAATAATTACCAGAAAAATAAATCAAATGTAACATAATTAACCCATTAATCTGCAGGACTCTCCACTTGACATGTAAAATAGTCTGTCATTAGACCGAGTAAAATAATAAAGTTGGGTGCATTTGTGCGCATTGCACCTTAATGGGCAAAGTTTTTTATGTTTTTACAAAATTAGGGAAGTATTAAAATTTGGAAAGAATTACAAAAGAGATGGAAAATATTAGGCTATGTCCATGCAATACCATTACATTACGGGACTTTTGCAAGTGCATTTTAATGCCGTGCAATTAGTGTCTATGTTCTGTGCATTTTCTAGTTGTATCACAACTCTGTGTGAAAATACACATTGTGAAGGTGCAACATGACAAACAACTATTGTAGGCATCCCGTCCCCCGACCAACCCTGCAGAGTTACTTAGATGTCCGAGGAAGGATAATTATTTCTGATCTAAAGTCTGCAGACAGTTCATTTAACATAACAGGTGAACATGAAGTTTATAACCACATTTTTATACACAGATTTGTTTCTCTTTGATCTTGATTCCAATCACAAACCTATCCTTAACCCTAATATGGTGCATACTTGCCATACTCTGCAGTCTGGTCTAGCAGAATCACCAACTAGACTTGAGGCCACAGACACACAACTGATATTGAGCCTATTATTTAATAATTCCACTTCCCCCCAAGTAGGTAAGTCAATGTTGTCCGAACTATAGTGTATAAAACGATAGCTTTCGCCCCCCCCCCCCCAAAAAAATATATTGGATTTAAATACATAATAGAAAATTACTGCGAAAATAGCTCTTTTTTCCGTGCTTAAATTGTTGTTATAAAATTATAAAGACCATAATAAGAAGGCGTAGTGAAATAACTTATTTGGCAGAGACATCGTAATTTATTACATATTTATAAGTGTTGTTTACACAGCAGGACGCGCCTGCAAACATTTTTTGTTGGTTTTCGATAGTCAATTTAGACATACATGTGGCAAGAGCGGGCTTTTATAGTGTGCGTAGTTTTTTGTCATTAAATATGTGGCAATAAAGTCAGTACAATCGACTTCCAAATATTTGCTAGTAACTTAACGTCCTAACTAGTTCTTATAGATGTTACAGTATAAGTGCGAGTTTGATTGCATTGATCACGGCAAGTTGTTGTAATATTAACTATGCATCCTGGCTCACGGATAGTTTACAAATCATAATAACAGAATTTGAAAGGGATGAAGAAAAATGGTAGAGAAAACACTGAAATTCCCATTTCCGAAAATTTAGAGAATCCAAATATTCAAAAATTTCCCGCTCGGCGCCGCAAATTTTTTTTCCGTAGACAGTCGGACCCCTCCGAGATGGTCAGACTCCTCCTTCGTTTGTGGCCAGACCGCTGATAAAATACACGCACGCGCATGCAAAAGCAAAATATTTATTTGCATAAAAATCTGCATAAATTATCTGCATAGTCAACTTGTCATGGCCGACGAAGAAGGTACTACCAGCCTTCTTCGCGACGCGATACACAATATTACAAATATATTTTCTGGCGAAGAGAATACCTAGACATTATATGGATGTGTAAGAAATGTTTTACCCATTGAAGAAGAAAATTACGAAATTACAAATGTCCAAGGAACCGCTCGAACGTTCAAAGCAAAAATCAAAGCGAATCTCCAAAGCGAAGGAGATATAACCAAGTTCATTCAGAATTACGGGCTAAAGAACAATGAAACTCTGAGGAATGCTAAAACAAGAAAAATTTGCTCACACGGAGAAAGTATATTGACAAAATACTTCCGATGTCATCACAACACAAGGTACGAAGGCACAAATGCCCGAATGAAATCTTGCCGTCTCGTCCAAGTAAACGTTTTAAGAACACTAATTGCACATTTTCACTTGTGGTGAGGATAACTAAGAAGTGTGACGCACAAGATTTTGGCTCTACTATTGACATAGAGTGGAACCATAATCACTCTGTTCAGTCATTACATTCACTAAGTTTTAAAGATATACCAGCATCAGTGAAAAATAACGTACGTTATGCAGATGTTTGCAAGTGGTTTGTTGCCTGGTGCAGCACATAGAGAGTTTCTTCGTCAACTTAGAAGCGAATGCATAGATGAGTTGGAGTATCATCAGAGACTTGCGGATCGCTCGGAAGCTCCTCGGAGGAAGGACTTCAACGATATTTATTCCGCGTTTAAGAAGGAACGGTTTGGGACAGGAAGCATGTCTGAAATGTTTTCAGCTCTTGAAGAAAGCATTGAATGTCTTCGGCAGAAAGATGAAGAGTACACAATAAAATACCAGAAATTTTATGAAGAAATAGATCAACCATTTATTCTGGCTATTGTAACCCCACTGATGAAACGAGTTCACAAGCTGGTAAGTACATGCATGACAACTGCTGTCCTTGTTACTCTTCAAGTCTTGGCCTGGCCTTAACCTGCTTTTTGCTTCCAGTGATTGGCTGACAAATTAATCAACCAAACAGCTTAAGCAAAGTAGACCAAGACCAATATAGGTCTTGAAGTGTAAAATATCCTTCAGGGACTGCAGAGTGCTTTAAATTGGGGGGGGGAGAGAAAAAATCCTAAGGAGTATATTTGATTCATGATTTTTGTTTCATGCAGTGAAAAATTCATAAGGCTAATGCCGTGCCGCCCTCAGCTCTTTGGTATCTGTCCTTGATGATTAAAATTGACCAACATTTTACAGAGTACAATCAGTCATTCCAGCAAAGATCAAAGATCCATACTCCCCCACACAGGAAATTTCTGCCGTCCGGAGGGGAGGGGAGGGGAGAAAAAATTGTTTCTGATAATAGTAAATGTGTTAGGACATCCAAAGGAGGTAGGGGGTTAACTTCCTATTTCCTCCGTGGGGGTGGTATGGATGTTTTCTGGAATGACCCAATAACAAAAATCAGGGTGTACAAAATATCGATTGTTTGGCTTTCCTAGATTCATCCTCCAATATGGAAGAATACAACCTCCGCGTATTTGTGATGGGTACGCATAGTGTTTGTGGTGCTCTGCCCCTAGGTATCTATATTTATTTTTAGTCTATGAGATCGAAGGAGCAGACACTTAAAGATGCATTGGAGTTGTTGAAATCTTGCTTCAGTGATTTAGCATTTTACGGTGCGGATGGGCCAAGAGTTTTCATGACAAACAATTGTAGTGAATTGCGAGAAGTCTTGAAAGAAGCCTGGCCTAATTCAGTGTTATTGTTGTGCATCTTCCATGTTCTTCAACAAGTTTGGCGATGGTTGCATGAGAAAAAGAATGGGATCACAATAGAAGATAGACCTACATTGTTATTATCATTTAAACAAATACTCTATGCTGAAAGCGAGGATGACCTCCACAACTCTTTTGATGATCTCATATCAAGTGATGTAGCATCCAAATATGCCAAGTAGGTAACAGATGTCTTTGAGGATCGCGAAGCTTGGGCACTTTGCTACAGAGATGACTTACCAATGAGAGGCAACAACACTAGCAATCTATGTGAAGCTCAATTTCTGGTCATTAAAGATAAGGTTCTTAATAGGCAGAAGGAGGTTAATGTTGTTCGTCTTGTCGACAAGTTTACATCGGACCTTGACCAACATTACAGCGACAAGGTGCTGTCAGTGTCATCAGGTAATTACATATCGTCAGATTGACAGTAATTTTACAATGCACCCTTTTGTTTGCTTGCAAATATAAATAATCTACCTCTTTCAAGTTATATTTTTGAAACCATATATGCTATTTTCCTGAAGTATTAGTCGGATTAAATTAACCAATTTAGCCCCCAGTCCAAAACCACTGGGGAAAGTAACTTATAAGCCAGTCTACTAATTGCGATCTATAGTAAATTCCTATCACTTCGTGATTTCATATCTTGAATGAAGACATTTTCAAATAATTTTGTGGTTGCAGGCACCAAAAAAGTTCATGAACCCTGCTGTAGATCTAACTCCAGATTTTACCTGTCAAGATAGATAGATAGACAGATTGACAAGAGTCATGTCTTCCAACTTAATGGTTTATTTTCCCATTGTCTAGGCAAATATGATGCAGCAGGAGATTCCAAGGTCGAGGTAAAGAGAAGAAAAATGCTGATGGAATTGGATTCCAAATCCCAAATGATGAAGAGCAGAAGTTAGCAGTGGAGAAAACCATTAAAGTTGGTGACAAGATATTCCTTGTACCAAGTATTACCACAGAGGGAATACAGTACCTCGTCGATATGAACACTGGTATCTGCCAGTGCAAGAGTGGTATGAATGGTTCGCCTTGCAAACATCAGTACATTCTTTGGGCACACAAGTTGGCAGATGCAGTCAATTTTCTCCCTGTTTTCAGTAAAGAACAGAGACAATTATATGCGCAGATTGCTATTGGAATGTCATTACCATCGCAATACTACGAAGGTTGCATGATCAAGTTTTGACCCTGATCCAGTTGTGCTGTCTTCAGATGTTTGTCATTGTACAGACAAGAGGGATATTACAGGGACAAGTAAGTGTCTCCTACAAGCATGATCTGGAGGTTGACTGGTTATAAAAGGCAATACTTACCCCTTTATGACTAACATCTTCTGGCTCTAGGCAGTGTAAAATAACAAGATAGGACACATTAGGATACAATGCCATATTATTTAAGGGCCCAAGCAGCATTGAATCCTTTGTTATTTTACTCTGTCTAACGACAGAGATGTCTTGACATGATATTACCGGTATATCAGTATTTTTTAGTTCTATTGTACTGTAGGGGAGGATAAGTGGCATCCTAAAACATAATATTTAGCTTGGTTCTCACTTCTAGTAACTGACGGCACTTGCTGACAAATGTTAACTTTAATATATTCAAAACTTCGAAGTTATCATTGGCATTGACAAGGCTAAAATGTTTTTCATCACTTGAATATATTATTTATACTAATTAACATTAGTCAGAAACTGGCATCGGTGATAAATTGGGACAAGTGGGAACTAATAGGCAGAATTTGAACTTAAATATTGATATCAGGTGACAAATTTATAATGCTAAGTGCCATTTTATTTTGTAGCTCTACCAAGAAGAGACATCCTTCGGGACATGATTTCAGTAGAAGAATGCTCTGCAGCTTTGACCAAAACCTTGGATATCTTAAAGGAGAAGTTGCATGGAGCTGATCAAAACTTTTTGAAAGGTGTCTTGAAATTCACAGACAGAGTGAAAAACATGCCCAGGTCTAAGCTGACAACCCGTTTTCATTCTTTTGGTGTAAGAGGTGTGTATAACACCCATCTCACAGCAACATCTGTTGTGAAAAAACGAAAACGTGGTAAGATCCATGTGCAACCTGAAGCAGTCAAGCGTCGAAAGAATGTAACTGGATCAAAAAGACGACAAAACAAAGGTCAACTGGTGAGAAACAATCCATTTGAAAAGCAAGCTGGCCGTGCCAAACGTGCACACTACTTTACAGAGAATGTACGGCAAAATGAGCCAGTGGCAAAAAAGGCTGGAAGAAATATGGCCACCAAAACAAGGGTATATGAACATTGAATTGTGATTGAACTTACATGTATATCATAAACTTGTTTAACTTATAAACTTGAACCAACAATGTTTAAAAATTACTCAACACCTTTTTGGGACCATCCATTTAGAGCAAGTGTTTTTTGTGTATCTTCCAGATGTTTTTTGTGTATCTTCCAGGGCCTTCTCTCAAAACTCTCCTTATATTTTGTTGGTAGGGACCAATAAAAAGCTTGTATCAGTTTTTGCATATATGTCCATTGTATTATACAATTTCTATTATACTTTATATACTAGGGGGTGGAGGGGATACAATTTTCAAAACAATTAGCAAATGTACTAAATGGATGGCTGTTTAATGTTTAAGGTCTTGTTCTTTAAATAAGAAATTAGTTTACATGTCTACAAACAGTGTTTAGAATGCCTCTTCAGATTGGACATTGTGGTAAAGTTTACAGCACACAAACGACATGTAATATTCTTCTCAGGGGTATTACTATGTGTTTTCAAATGTCGTTCCAATGAATTTCGGCTGGAAAATGCTTTATTACATAATTCACATTTATTCCTTTCTTCATGTATCTTGCTGTGCCTCCTTAGTGACAACTTATTTAAAAACACTTTTCCACAGGTACTGCACGCACATTCACTACAATGCTTTTCGTGGTAAATTGCATCTTTAGCTCGAGGAAAGGACTTCTCACATTTCTTGCAGATATTTTCCACTATCCCACAATCTATGTCTTCTCTAATTTTTTGCGCTTCCTTTTTCCAGTCCTATTATCAAAAGACATGCAAAAATGTCATTTTATTGGGATCAAATATAGGATGTATAGAATTTCCGAAGAGGTCATTATGTGGTACCTGGGACAACTTGCATGGTTCATATGTTTCCAAGTTTTCACATTTAAGCTCAATTTGCACTATGAAAACTAACCTGGATCAAATTGGGTTGAATGCATTTATGCTTAAAAATCATCACCTGTTAACTGGTGTCAAGACAGGTTAATTTTCATAGTTTAAAGAGTACAAAATAGCATTCATTTGTAGTAACTAGTAAGTGTTAAATACCTTACTTGGTGGACATAGGAAGAGCATCTTTTCCACATATGTGAAGCTGTTTTGCTCATCGTAGTCAAATCTGCCTCTGGGACTTCATCTTTGATCTGACTCTACAAATTATTAAAGTTTTATTATTAAAAAAAAACTACCTTTTATAAAAAAATCCCTTTAACCCACTGAGTCACATTGCGCCCTGATGCACCCTACTTTATTATTTTACTCTGTCCAAAGCCGGACGATTTTAATCGTCAGGGGGAGAGCGCTGTCCTGGCCTATCTGCCCATGTGTTTAGTTAACCCACTGAGTCGCATTGCGCCCTGATGCACCCTACTTTATTATTTTACTCTGTTTAATGCCAGATTATTTTACTCTCTCTAACGCCAGAAGATTTTACTCGTCAAGGGGAGAGCACTGACGCTTAATGTACCGCAAAAAATAGTCCATGTGTAAGCCCCCTACCACCCCCCCCCC